CAAAACTAAACAAAGTATCAGTTATTAATGTCATATGTACTCTAACCTCTTGGCTCGGTCAGGAGGATCACAACTTATTTCTCTTTCCTTTCTTCATACTTCTTCAATTCACCATCGCCTTTGCATCTTCTTCCAACCTAATTCTTAGAATCTAATTTACAAGAATAGAGAAAGAATATGTGACGTGAAGAAAAGAGAAGAAAAAAAATAAACCATAAAAAAGAGTAAAGAGAGATGAAAAGAGATGAGAACCTCCTAAACGCTCTTGTTCTGCAGCGCCCACCGTCGTGTCACCAGCTTGCTCTACCCCTTCCACGTCGTCACCCACCGAAAAAAACCTCTTCTTCGACGGCGCTGTGTCCGAGCTCTCTAAGCGCCACGCTGTGCTGCGCTTGCACTTCTACGGTGACGACAAGAAGATGATATACTTTTAAGAATAAAAAAATAAAAAAATTTCAAAACAATAATTCATATAGGAGTAAAATTAATTCAAAAATAGAAAAAAGAAAATAGGTTAATATAATTGATTACATGATGATGTAGTGTGTATTAAAGTTCTGTGAAATTGAATTATATATAATCAACAAGCTGTGAAACCCCTACTTATGCATCCTAGTCTATCTCTGCAGTGAATTGGATGTGCTAAGTTACTACTCTTATAGGGTACATTCTCTTACTTGTAGATTGGTAATGGGGTATAATATCATTTATAGACTATTCATTTGTTCTAGAGATGGTTTAATTTTTTTTCTCACTTTTCTCAAATTATATTATAAAGCACATGCAGATGTATAGTCGTAACTTACTACCTAAAAAATGTGATTCCACAAAAGAAACAATCATACCTTGGAATCAGAACAACAGAAACAACCATTCACAATCAATCAATTAACTTTGCTACAATGTCCTGAAACACAGAAAGTCTACAATCAAGTAACATTTAAATTTAAATTAATGTACAATTATAAATAAAATATTAATAAAAGATAGAAACTACAACTTTAGGACAGCTGTAGCAAAAAAAAATGAAACTCTGTGTGAACTGGTACAACAAAAACTTAGTAGAACCTACAAAAGCAACACCAGTAAAAAAAACGTTAGAAACAACAAGAGATGTTAGTAAAGTTAGATAATTGAATATATGTCTAAAAAGGCAATATAGAATAAGATCCCATTTAGTGGGAGAAGACTTTTATTGAACCACGTTAATTAAAGTGCTTATTTGTTAAAGTTTCCCAAAGAAAGCTAAACACAAAATGGTCTTTTTACTATACTTTCCATGTCAAAATTCAAGGACTTTACATTGAGACTAAAGTTTTTTTTTTTTTTTTTTTTTATACTTAGGGACTTCAAAAAGAACGAAACAGTGGTTCAACCCTCAACAAAGTAATTTTTCTTACGAAATTGGGAAGACTGTAGAGAAAATACAAAACTTTTTTCCTTTATTGTACCAACAAATCAACCATTTATGATCACAATTGCATCAAACTCATTAATACATAATATTTCTTATCTACAGCGACAAAGTTAGACATATCTCTTGTAAAACCCTATATAATTAGCAATAATAATTCTGTGTTAAATCAAATTGATGCACACTATAATCAATGCTTATCTCATTAACCACTTCACATCTGCTAAATCCTCGCTTTTCACTTAAAACCGTGCCACATCATTCTCCTGAAACACGCACCCTTCAACAACACTCAGTGCATAAAACGCACCAAGCGCTGCTGCATCGCATGCCTCTGTCCACTTAAGAAGCTTCTAAAGCGTAGTGGATTTCCAGGTGGCAGGTGGGATGCCCGACCGTTTGACGGGAGAGAAAAAAAACTTTTTTGTTTGAAAAAAAAAATTTCCTCTGAAAACACTTCCCTCCATTCTATGCATTCACCTTCTTCCTTCACTAAAACCCTGGCCATTTCTCTTCTCCAACTCTTCTCTCTACAACCTTTTCGTCTCTCTCTAAGATAACCTCACCTCAACATCTCTGCTTCCATTTCAGAAAAAACCGGAGATCGTTCACGGTGTCGTGAGCTCACTGGAACCGAACATATTATGTAGAATTCCTCATCCGGTAAGCTTTCCAAAACCCTAGAAACCCTTTTCTGAGTTGCATGCGAACTTGATGGCATAGCTGCAGGGTAGAATATACACTAAGTTCTCCTTCGTCTTTTTGGTTATAGGTTTAGTGAAACAACTTGAGAATCACGTTGCGTGTAGGGGTGGGGCATTTGTTTGGGCAAGTTAACAAACGTGGGCGTCGGGAGTTCACTGCTTAACCAGGTAAGGAATTTATTTTTTTAATTTATCCTGTATGTTTTAGTAACGATCTGAGTTTTGGCATGTAGACTGTATGAAGTATGAGTGTTTATGGATTTTCACTGATATCTGATATGATTCCTGGTTTTGATTGAGCTTTCATGGAACGAGCACTGCCTTGTATGTATTATATATGTGTTGATTTTGATAAAGGGCATATGAGTTGATTACGTATTGACTTGATATGGTTAGTGTATGGTTGGAATGATTAAAATGTTGAGATCTTATTGATGAAGATATTAAGGTGAATTAAATCTGGAATAAAGTTATAAAGTTTCTAAATTTGAAATCTGGAAAATTTTGTTAAGGTTGTAAATCTGAAACTTTAAATCTTCCCTTTGATAAATTGACGCTCGTCCCACGGTACGTCGTATAACCGTTCGGTTTCCCCTGCAAAAGACTTAGATTGAATTCCTTCAATTTTTGGGAAGAATTTCGGTGTGAAGAGCGAGCGTTTTTATTGAGTTACTTGTTGAGCGTTTCGGCTAACTAGAGTGTCGATCCTTAACTTAAACAATGCTGAATAAGAACGTTCGCCTCATGTCGAACGTTCGTCCCTAATAATGCGTTCGGCCTCATGTCGAACGTTCGTCCCTAAAGAAGAGCGCTCGGTTCCATATTGAGCCGTCGTCCTAAAGAGCGTCGGCCTTGTTGCCAAGCTTCGTCATGATTTTGTGGCTCGGTCATATACCGAGCGTTCCTTTAATAAAGAGTTCGTCTTAAACCGAAACGTTCGTATTTTCTTTAAATTCCTTACCACGTAAAATAACGTTCGTCCAAACTTTTTATAAAATTTTTATATTTGGCGCGTCCGTCTTTGAATGGTAGCCCTGTTCCTTTCCGAATACAAAGTTCCTTATATATTCAAGTATTCTCTTTAATGTCTATTCATCTAAATTGGAGATAATCTGACTTCTTAGTCATTTTTTTTAAAAATATTCTGGAGTTGCTCTTTTATTCTGAAGTCTTTGAGATTTTAAGAAGTTCTTTTATAATCCAGTTTTAACGTCGTCCTCTTCCTTTCAGAAAGTTGCACGTCCTCTTTTTCCGAGAGTGGAACAAAGAATGAAAAATTATAAACAATGAAAGTTTAAGATGTTTCGAACAACTGTATAATGATTATACGATTGTGAATTTGACGAGCGTTCCAAGGAGGAACGTCTCAGATGTGTTGGAATGTGAAAATTTGTAAAGTATGAACCTGGATAAGTTAAGCCTCGCGGTCCATCCTGATATTCCGTGATACGCCTCTTCAAGTGAAGAGGGTATTCATGCGTGGAAATGGTAGGAGGCCCTAGTCCATTGAGTACTTCGGACAATAGGGTTAACCTCGAGTGGCAGCTGGGAGATTTGATCATTACTACACCACTCGGGTGCAAGGACGCTTGTAACTACATGGTTCATACAGTCCGGACGGTCTGTCTTATTTACGTATTCCTGTGATTTTTATTGATAAGTTACATCTGTATTGTGGGAATTGAATGTAAATGTAAAAGCATATATTGACAAAAAAATAAGGTTAAAGTCCAATTATTTGAATGGAAAGAAAACCAGCCCGTGTCATAGGCAAGGAAACCTACACTACAACCATATACTACACTAAAAACAGCGTCTGCACCAATGTAAAGGAAATAAAACTGCAGCAACAATTTTATTAGTGAAAAAGTGACTGCACAACTTTAATGAAGGAGGTTCTTAATTCCATTCGTGAATTCCAATCCAAGGTATACATCAATTCCATATATAACCTTCATTATTTTACCAATTAAATAAATCCTAAAGAATGAAGTAGGTACAATACAAAGTAATTTGACAGATCATTTTATTCAAGGTATATGATTAAGTGCATATATATTCAGCACTAAAAGATTCTTTAGTCATGATTAATGTGCAGCTTTGGCCTACACCGAGAGAATTAGCACCTAGCAAGAAAAGAAAACTAAACACAGTATGATTAATGTTCATCATGTAATCTAACCTCTATGGCTCGGTCAGGGATGATCACAGCTTATTTCTCTTTCTCCTTCTTCATACTTCTTCAATTCACAGTCGCCTTTGCATCTTCTTCCAACCTAATTCTTGAAATCTAATTTACAAGAAGAGAAGAGATATGTGACTGTGAAGAAAGAAGAAGAAAAAAAATAAACCATAAAAAAAGAGTAAAAGAGAGATAGAAAGAGATGAGAACCTCCTAAACGCTCTTGTTCTGCAGCGCCCACCGTCGTGTCACCAGCTTGCTCTACCCCTTCCACGTCGTCACCCACCGAAAAAAACCTCTTCTTCGACGGCGCTGTGTCCGAGCTCTCTAAGCGCCACGCTGTGCTGCGCTTGCACTTCTACGGTGACGACGAGCGGTGCGCCGTTTCGCTGAAGGCTCGAGCGGTGCTGGTGGACAGCGTCAGTCGCGTAGACGAGGATGAGAAGGATCTGGACCCACGGGTCAGGCACGAATGCGTTGCAGAGCCTGGGAAGTTGGGATCGGTGGAATCTAGGGTTTTGCGGAGAGTGAAGGAGGACTTTGGAACTGAAAAGGGGTTTACAGGATTGGGAGGGTTTGGGAGAAGATAAAAAAGAAAAGCAGAGTTTCAAACTAAACGAAGGGCAATGAAAAGGAACTGGGGTTTACAATAATTAGTCAGAAAAATTATTTTAAAAAAATAAATAAATGTTTAGGGACGGTTTTTACTTATAAACCGCCGGAACTATTTAGGTTTCAAAAACTGCCGAAAAATAACCCCTCTTAAAATATACTTTTTTTGTAGTGTATGTAGTCTTTAAAGCTCAAAATCCATAAATATAACATTTATTAAATGTACTACTATATGACCGTGGTTGCATTTATATAAATTTTGTTATTCTTAATTGTTCTTAAAAGGATCTGAACATGGTTTCTATGACAAGTAGTAAAAGTTAAGTGAACGAAGAAATCTAAAGTATATTTCTTGACAACGGAAACATAAAAGATCTGCTTATGAAAGACTCTGAAATACTCAAATTAAGAGAGTTTTAATCTTTATGTGTAAAGAAGAATGAATATTCACTAGAAAATAACATATGTATTTATAGGAGATTTAGGCCTTAAGGTCCATGGTAATGTGATATCATTATCAAATGATATCGATAAAATAAAGACTTATCTACAATAAATAGACAATAATAGCGTGGTACCTTACCATAAATAGCAATAGTAATATCGTGATATAATCAAATTGACAAAGTTTGTTATGATTAATGTTAATATATGTATATTTGTTTCAATAAATGTATTTTAGACTATTTCAAGATGGAGGCTTATTAGGCCTTATTGAGCTGCATTTTTTAGCGCATCTATTAACCCGAGTAGGTACATAAGTTCACCTATTCTTGAGAGTTTGATTAGTGTATAATGACACATTCACCATTTTCAGATTTATAGTACACACATTTATCAACTTCATTATTTGAAAAATCATCACAAAGTCACATTATCAAGTTTTTCATGCTATTATTTTGGTGTTTGTTTCATTCTACAAAAAGACTTTAAAAGTTTTTCATGTTATTATCCTGGGTATAACACATCATTCAAGATGAGTCATATAAATTTCCTTTTTTAATTCATCATTCAAAACAATGGTCTTAATATCCATTTAGTGTACCACTAATTTATGGATAGTTGTTAAAGCTAACAATACTCAAATATAAAAAAATATTAGTCACAAAGGAAAAAACAATCTATGTTGGGCTTTTGGGTAAAACATTTTTCCATTAATCACGCCTTATATTTCCTTATGGATCCACCGTGATGATACTATTTTATCAAAGATCCACTTACAACTAATGAATTTTGCTTCTTTAGACAAATATGCTTAAGATAAAAATGCTTAAGTCTAAATTTTATTTTTCTTAAATAATTCAATTTTAATCCCAATTGTCTTATCCCTGTTGGGAATCAAGTCTAAGTCTCATATTTAATAAAAATGGGAAAGTAGAGTACTTATAAAGGTGAAAGACTCGTTCATCCATTGTCTTAAGATTTTGGATAGAGAGTGATGTTAATCCTTTATATGGTTGAGCTCATGTCTCAAACCCAACAGTGGTATGTAATAGCTTTTAAAAAACTTGTTTGATAATCCTTAACTATAAAAGTATAAAATTCATTTCCAAAGTAAGTTTTAAACAGAAAAGTAGATAGAAAATGAGAATGGGAGAGAATATGTGAGTTTGTGTGTGTGTTCGGAGGAAACATATTTATAAGTGTGAGAGGGGCTTATGTCGGGCCCGATATCCAACTTGAGGATGAAATTTGTAACAAATTCATTCAGCATTCACAACAGGAGAAAAAAGTCTGCAACCGTGTGTAAGGAAAACTTTTCGGGTGCAGCTCCCGTAACTTCGGCACCGCTTCAGAGGAGTATGCACTAACAACCCTGGAGTTTGTTCACACCAGAAGGAACGTTGCATTCCTTTTCATCTCATGATAAAACCCAATAATGTACAGGAATTCTAAACTAATGCCCTTTCTTTTGCAATATTCAATTTTTCACAAGTGTGAACTTGAATTCCTCAAAACGCTTTTCGTAGACATTAAACTTAAATCTTAGATACATAAAACAACAAGCATATGAACGAATGTGTGAATGCATGATAATCGTTAGTTTGAAAAAGATGAACTCCAATTGTTTTGGGTTGACATTGCTAGGTTGGGAAAATAGGGCTCGTTGACTTGAAAAAAAGAGACAGATATTGACACAAAATGTGAATGAGTTTTCATTCCGTTCTTCAAACAAATTGAAAAACCGGTTCTTCCAAACATGATTCACTTGCAGTAAACATTAAACTCAACTTGAGATACATGCAACAAGAAATGCAAGGAGACATGAGATACCACAAACAAGAGAATAAGATGGGAATGAAAGATAACCATTCTCCTGAATAAATGAACTTCAACCAGTGCTTATTCAATTCTTAAAATAAGGGTAAGACTTTGATTGATTTGGAAATTTTTAGAAATGGGATTCGTTGGTTCAGAAAAGGAAGGTTGATTCATGGACAAAATACGAACGATTTGAAAAATGAATTGGGAACTGGGATTCATTTTGTTGCTTCAGTATTTATAAAATGTAATGTTTTAAAGTTTAAGCTGAATGGTTCTGCCATTTAACATGTTCTTATAAGATGGCACTATAAATTATAATACAAAGATATTAGCAAGTAAACTAATAAGAAAAAAACATATTAGTTATTTATAAGTGGCTTTAATTAAATTAGCAAAGGAACATGATAATGTGGAGAACATGTAACTACAGAAAGAAAACATGTTGCAAAATGTAATCAAGACTACGATGAAAAAAGTAGAGAAAGAAGGGTTGGACAGTTGATTTAGTTGTCTGTTATTATTGAAAAAAATGAGGAGTGTTGGTTCCATTGACTACCTCCTCTTGTTCCTGCTCCCAAAGAGAAGCGTCAAATAAAAGAGGAATCGAAAGAAGAATCCCCATGCAACCGTGATCCACAAGCAGCTCCATTTGCTCAGCTGCGTTATCCCTTGCTGCTTCAGCACATCCGCTCCGGTGATCACGCAGGTGGACCTCGTGATGTTCATGCCCAGCGTCTCGCTCATGCTCTTCAGCAGCTCCACCTTCAGCGTCTCCGGCACCATCCCCAAGGGCGTGTTGTCGAACATCTGAATCCCCCTCACGAAGCACCTCGGAGAGTTAACGTCGAACTCGTTCTGCAACACTCCCTCGTACGGGTACTTCACCAGCGACAGGTAGTGGAACCATATCCAGTAGGGAGGGATTCTGTCCCTGCTGATGAAGAACCCGCTGAAGAGAAGAAAGTAGGCCAAGATCGCAACCACCACCGTGAACCCTATCATCACATGCGACACCACTCCCGACAGGAACGTCACGAAGGAGCTTCCAGCCCAGAAGGAGGCCACGATCACCAGAAAGTAAAAGAGAAAGCCCGAAGAGCCGCCCGCCAGGCCCACGGCCCAAAAGGTGGTGGCTGCAAAGGCGAAAGAGAGAAAGAGCAGGGAAGGGAGTGAGATGATTGCGTGTGAGAGGACGTAGGAAGAGCGACGGTAGGCGTTGTACGCTGTCTCCCTCATGAAGATGTAACGCTCTTGGAGGAACACTGGGATGGCTTCGGCGCAGGTGTAAAACGTGGTGGACATGGCGAAGGCGAAGAACCCCACGCGCTCCTGAACCCCTTTTGGTGAATCATCCAGGTGCCAGAAGATTGTTGCCAAGATTACCCCCGTCACAAGAACTGCACCTAAACGAATCCCGAATAACTCTGGCATCCTTCGTGAGTTCGTCAGAGACCTTTTTCCTATCACCGCCATTTCCATCCAAAACGGATTCGCGAAGGCGGGAACGGAAACTGCCGCCGTTGAGTTCTTGCCGTTACCGTTAGCGCCGGACACCAGTTTCCCTCTGGAAATGCTAGCGCTGATGGCGTCCTTCAGAGATGGTTTGGGCTTGTGATCATTCTGGGACTGGACCGAGTTTTTTTCTTTCAGCTGCCACGATTTGTTGAAGTCCACTAAACTCTTTGTCCCACTGGGTTGTTCTTCCAGTTCTCGAATTAGGTCGAGAGCGAATTCTGTGCGGTTTTCGTTCTCCGGTATGGGGTGGCCGAACTCGGAGAAGAAGGCTGGGAGGTTCGCCGGAGAGCCGCTGTAGACAGTGTTACCGTGGGAGAGGAAGATCAAGTGGTCCAATAAGCCTAAGATTCGGTAGCTAGGTTGGTGAATGGACATGATGACGATGCTTCCACTCTGAGCGATTCGCTGCAGCACTTTCACCACCATGAAGGCACTTGTGGAGTCGAGGCCCGAAGTTGGTTCGTCGAGGAAGAGCACGATGGGATCATGGATGATGTCGATTCCGATGGAGACGCGACGGCGTTCTCCCCCGGACACGCCGCGGTGGCCCTCGTCGCCAATGACGGTGGAGGCGGCGGAGCGGAGGCCGAGCTGGTCTATCAAGGCCTGGACGCGTGCTTTCTTCTTGGATTTCGAGAGGGAGCGAGGGAGTCTGAACTCCGCTGCGAACATGAGCGTCTCTTCGACGGTGAGCATGGGAAAGAGGAGGTCGTCTTGCATGACATAAGCGGAAATCACCTTTAAAAGACTCGAGTCTAAAACCTCGCCATTTAGGGTGACTGTACCTTTCAGACTTTCCTTTGATATGCGGTTGGCGAGGGCGTCGATGAGAGTGGACTTGCCAGAGCCACTGGCACCGAGGACGGCCATGATCTCGCCGTCCCTGGCCTCGCCGGAGATGTCGTTGAGGAGAGTCTTGGTGCCGTTGGGTTTAGTTTCGTGGTCGGGTGGGAAAACGGTGGTGGTGGGAAAAAAAGTGAACTTGCGGTGAAGCTTGACACTGTAGGTCAAATTGAAAAAGGAGAGGACAAAGGGGTGGGTGGAGGAGGAGGAGGAGGAGAGGTCAAGAACATGGTGGGGTGGTGCAGGTGGTGTGTCGTTTTGGGCGTCTTGGACGCGATTTAGGAGATCGGCGAGGGTGCGGGATCGGGTTCGGGTTGTGGGCGGGTTTGGGAGTTGGACAAGGTCCATGGATTGG